TATTCGTAGTAACTAACCCTACGTGAGACCTACCCCCCCCCCCCACTTTATTAACTATATTTTTGTGCACCATCAATACCAAACGTGGGGTGTGCGTATACCTGATTTATTTTATTACTCATCAGAATTTCTACCATCCAATTGAAATTCTTTTAAACAGGATTAGAGTAAATTAATCTGAGACCTTGGGTGTGGTCAAATAAATCAATCAAAAGGGTTTGACCACCTGAGTCCAAAACTGTAATTAGATCTCAAATAGGTCAATAGATGATGGGGCAATGAGCTAAAAGTTTGCACTTGAAAAACTCAAAGCCATTCTATGAGCTGATATGCCATGGCTAAAACAGTATTTTGAAGAAATTGCTTGTATTCTTACAGGGAGTAAAAATACAAATATTTGTTAATATTATGAACTTTATCAGTCCACACCCAACAGTAACATGATACTGAAATAACAAAACTTTAGTCTTCTGGTGTTGAAATACTCTACTTCTCTGTAAGTAAAGCAGTGGCAGACATGATGTGTAAAATCAGAAGAAATTCAGTCAAAATCAGAAAAGAATATCCACTGCCATATTGGATTCTAACAAGACAGTTATCAGTAATAAAAAAATAGAAAATTTTGTAAGATCCCTTTTAATTGCTTTTGTATGTCTAACTTATCTGGAATTCTTTTAAATCGAAAGTAAGCCATAAAAGTTTTTCTAGTTTGAATAAATATTATTCATCACATTGAAGTGTTAAAATCAAACATTATTTTAAATATTAAGTGTAATGTGCAGAAATATGTAGTTCATTTATTTATTCAGCAACAAAATAAGTAGTTGTTTGTACACATGTATTGATTAGTTTGCAGAGAAGTGACATTTTTTTTTAAATCATTAGCCTATAAAATAAATTCAATATTTATCTGAAGTCACTGATGATGCGAGTTGGTTTTGGGGGCCACATAAATGACAACTACGTTCCACTTAACAGTTTCACTTGAATCATAATTATTTTTCTAATGAATAGCAAGTTTATCCAGAAATGCCAATCTTAAAGAGTAATGTCATAAATGGGGATGTGGGCCACTATTTTAACCCATGGCATACAAAATGTCGATCCATTGCAAAAGTACCTTGCTATTTACGACATAAAACATCACTTTCATTTAAACAGGTATTGGGTACAAGTATCATCCAAAACATGCAACGAAGAATTCTAAAAGCCACGCTCAATTCCAAATATCAAGAACTAAACTACTTACAATAACATAAACTGAAATTAGACCACCAACTTGTCTGCTACCTTGAACCAGACAACTACAGCAATATACAACAGACCATCAATCAAAGCAACTCCATATTAAATCAAAAGAAGATATCTGTAAACAACGAAAAAAATGGAACAATTGAGAAAACTACAACAACAAAACGCAACCCAATCTTGTTATCAACAGATCAGATCGACCACTAAACGACACTAAACTACAACTTCTGAACAAGGGCCTCAACTTCGCCATCAACCACAAAACAGTTCCCTGCCTAGAATTAAAGACCAGTCTAGAAAATATATCCAAAAGACTAGTGATTCAAAAGACTACTTCCACCTTATACAGCAACCAACAAGAAGAAAAAAATCCAAAACTTTGACTACCAGACTTTTATGATTGATAACTATAACAAAATGTGGTTTCCTGAGGTTACCAAAAACTTTCTGAAAGAATTCTCTAGAAAAACCATTAATGTAGCTAACCAGACTCGTAAACTGAGTATGAATCTCACAAACAGTGAGATAAAATGCATGTACAATCTGAAAAAAGATACCAACATTAAAATTCTAAATGCTGACAAAGGCAACACTACTGTAATAATGAACAACACAGAGTACATTGACAAAATGAATAACATTCTTTCAGATGCTAAGAAATTTCAACCCAACAAACACACATGAAAAACAACTAAACAAAACCCTATCATGAATGAAGAAAGACAGCTTGATTATTGAAGATCTTGATTTTTATCTAAGGAAAACTGGCTCGTGCATACCACAACTTTATGGCATTCCCAAACCACACAAACAAGACTGCCCCATATGACCTATACTATCGACTTATGACTCATTTGACTACAATCTCGGTAAATACATAGCCTGGGGCTCTCACACCTTGTATAACTTCTGCAGGTTCCTTTTTTGAAAACCCAAAGCCTTAATGACGAGCTTTGACGTTATATCACATTTCACCAAAGTTCCCGTCAAAGAAGCCTGTAATGTTACACTTGATCTGAACAGTAATGACCCCAATCCTTCAATTCACATCCTCAACACACATTTTGTTTCTCTTTTAGAATTCACAACAACAAAAACCAACTTCATTTTCAACAACAAAACTTTTCTTCAAAAAGATGGTTTAAGCATGGGCAACCCTGTTTCACCTGTTCTCACAAACATATTTATGATCCAGATCAAAACACAAGCCATACGATCCACACTTTATCCTCACTTATACTGGTACAGATATGTTGACAACATTTCTGCTGGTTTCCAAAGAACACATAAACACTTTCTTTGAACACATAAACTCCATTCACACTAACATTAAATTCACCATTGAACATGAAAATAACAAACAGTTGTCTTTTCTTAACCTTGACATTTTTAGATCCAACACACATTTCCAAACCAAATTCACTGGAAAATCACTTGCACAGACCTCTACATCCCCTGAAATTCCACCCGTGAGTCCAAACAAAAACAGTTGTATACTAAAAAATCTAATACACACAGCTTCAAGACTTTGCTCAACTGAGAACTCTGTAAAGCATTTCTTCATTCACACCAACAAATTTCCACTAACCGTTATCAAAACATTTCCACACAACCACCAGAACAAAAACTTCAGAGCTCAACTCACAAACAAAATTTACACTAACACACCAAACAACAACACAATATTACACTGCAGTTTACCATTTATCCCTAACATCAGCTCAAAAATAATTAACACTTGGAGAAAACTTGACCTCAAGCATACAATTCCTGTAGACATCAAATTCACCCAACAAATCAGGCAGTAAACTAAAATCGTTTCAAAACTTTTATTTATCATTGTCATCAACCTCACATTATGCTATTAACCTCCTCACTCAGTTGATACTCATACACAGCATTGAGGCAGTAAAATTGAAATGGCTGCTAATCATAAACCATTGTCCAATTGTTTATTCATTTAAACTCATATTTGAGGGAAGGGGGTCTACCTGATTTTTTCCTCTACAAAATTTAATTGCAGTCAGTTCCTCACAAATAATTGTAACAACAGACAGACGGACTCATATTTTTCTTTTTTCTGTGTATGAATGTTCATTCTCGACCATCTTGTTTGAAGACACAGTTGTAGAAAATTAGGTAGTCACACAGTAAGACAGTTGTTGCTAGTCTTATTATTATTATTTGTTTCTTATTCTGAATCTATTGGTACAACAAATTATTGGACGTTTTTGTGTGATATCAATAAATAATTGTTTCTGATACTAAATTCATATATTGTTAAAACATACTGTGCCATTACATTGTTCTCTATTACGTTTTCTGGAGGAGTGGAAAACTGTTTCTTATATTAGTTATAAAAATTTATTTTATTTTCTTCTTGCTTGTTTTTATAAATTCAGATGCTGAAAAGGTTCTGAATAATAGTTTCATCCCTATCAATGTGGTGGATGTACTTAAGAATCTTCATTCAGCTAAAGAAATTCCTTGTCATCTGGTTCCAACTGAAAATGCAGAGAACAGAGATGATATCAAGTGAGTTGTATTTCTCCTATAGCAGACACAGTAGTCTTGTTAACAAATGTCGTTGCTCTTATTACTGTTTTAATTCTGTTATATCATTTTTGTCCTTTGTAATAATTAAAATTCTCAGATTTAAGGTGGCACTATACCTATTTGAGGGGTACTCGCAATGTTTTGGGGATATTTATTTATTCTTGGATTTCAAAAATAGTTGCATTAAAAGAAAGGTTAGAATTTTTAAATTCAAAATGTCTGTTTTTTGAGATATCTTTATAAATAGATGAGATATTTCAAGAACATTGCAATTTCTTCCTGTCCGGGAGTAAACTCGGCTTGACACATCCTGGAAAATCAATGATTTTTTTTATCAAGAAGCCTTTGAAGATTCCTTGAATATCTACCAAACATTCCTCATGTCATTAACAACAAACTGTACCATTGTTCTGATCTCAGTGTCACAAAAAACAATCTAGAAAACATGAATGATAAAGGTGCTAACATGGCAACACTAATCAGTAACAGGCTTTGAATTCTGTTCCATTGACTGCAGTGGGCAAGTGTCACATGACTATTGTTAGGATAAAATAAACCGTAGACTCATTTGTCCAAAATATAAAACTATGAAATTGTTGATAGGATAAAGAACATGAACGTTTTTATAATTTCATCTTCAGCATAAACACTCCAGAAATAATTCATAACATTTCATGCTTAAATTCTTCATCAATTATTACCTAAAATTTGTTAATCCTTTGGCTACAGCATCATTAAAACGTGAGGATGTAATGTAACTTTCATCATATTTTGTTCCAAAAATACAACTAGTTGATGAAGTTATTTTAAACTTTGCAGGAACTTTCCTAAAGGCATGTAGTTTCAGAAAAATAAAATATTTAATGTAATCTTTTTTTACTAAAAACTTGGTATTTATTATATAACTCAAGTGCAAAGTGATTTTTATTTTAAGTATAAAAATACTTTTTTTTATGTTAAAGTTTTAATGAATACCAAAAGTTTTTTTAAGGTAAATGTTTATATTTTATTTTTCATCTTCTCTGGTGTATCACTAACTAGCTATTATCATCAATGTACAGTGCAGTTAAATGTTTACGATTTCAAAAAATAGAAATATGTACATACTTTTTTAATTCTTCATCAAATAATTTTAACATATCTTCTTTTGGATTTATTCATAATTTCAGGTATTTACTGTTTGTTATTCATCTCAACACATATGCCAATGTGTGCCCTCATGGCTTCTTTGGTAGAGATATGCAAGCTTTCATCAAAATGTTTTTGCACTCTCGTAGTACGTTAATTCTTACAAACCCAGGTGAAATTTGGGTTATATTAAAAAATTATTAAACCTTTCAGGTATTCATTTTAAAACATAAATAATACATAATTAACTAAAATATAAAAGTAAAACCTAAGTACAATTTAACCGTCTGTCTAACCAATATGTATCTAGTTGAGAAACAACACTAAGTGCTAGTGAGGACAAAAACAACAACAATGCTAAGAGTGGTTTGATGTACTTGGTAAAACAAATATTGTGTGACAGTGTTAAAAAAACATAAGGAGATTGTAGTTTAAAATTGTTTCTTTTTTTCTATTGGATATAAACATGTACGTCAAATAATTAAATGTAGTTTGTAAATCTCAAGTCTATAAGAGCTGGGCTTTACTACTGTCAGGGGATGGAAGTTGTCCCGAAAGAATTTGAAACAAGGATGGGTAAATAGCATTGTAATCATAGTTTTGTATCTAAACATTGCGTGTACACTGTACATGTTGTATTAGTCAAGTAATTGATATGAAAAGAGATAATATTTGTAAACACTTGTGTGTCACATGACAATAAAACTGAAGTTTAAGTATTTTTTAAAGTTTCTTTTGAAATAAAGGAATTAAAACTTAGATACTATAAAACTTTGCATTATAATGTATATGATAAATCTGATTTCATTAACCTACATTAATAGTAAAGGTGTTTAATTAAATTTTGAATGTAACTCAATAAAACTTTATGACGTGCACAGAAAGGAGTTAAAAGAGTACACGGTTGTCAAAGGGTTAATAAAAACAGACAGGCCATCATCTTATCAGCTTTTAGTTTTACAGTGGCCAAATTAACTCTCACTATAAGCTCAGTTGATTTTACCTAAAAAATAACCCCAAATTGACCTTTATAGTTTCCATATTATAACTATATGTTTTGTATTGTGTATCTTCATGAATTTCACAAACTTTCAGTAAGCATTAAGTCATTAGTAGTAAAAAAAATCAGAATTTTTAATGAAGTATTTTCAATAAAAATTTATCCATGAATATGTGGAGTCAAAGTGTTGTAAAGTGATTTTCATGTTAAGATTAAAAATACTTTTTTTAAGTGAAAACTCTCAAATTTTGTTTGCATAATTTCTAAAACTCCTAAATAATATTTAAACGTTTTTTTTTCACTACAACTTTATATTTTATCTGTTATTTTCTTGCTCTTAACTATACAAAGTTGGTCAATTTGATCATCCTTGTTAACACCAAAAAAGAAAATCAAAATAAATCTAAATTAACCTTTTTAATGACGAGGAACCCACTTTGAGACTAATAATGCTTGGAGACGGCTTGAATGAGTAATGAGGAAGAACTTTAATATAAGTTTAACATAACAGCAAATGTACAACGTTTTGACAAGGTTTTGTCATCATCAGCATTATAAATTAACATTTTTTTTTTTTCTTTCAGTACCAGTAGTTGGCAGATAGTCCTTTTTTTAGAGAATTCAGTATCACATTTAAGTAAGTTGTGATGAATTTTATCATTTTATATAATTAATAATTGCTACCTGAATTATTTACAGAATTGAATTTGACCAAAATTTCATAGATGGAATTCCACAATTTGGAAAAGTTGAAGCTGATATAAAACAAAAGTAAGTGTTGTTTTTTTGTACTGAAATTAATATCTTACAAGTCCTTCAGTATTAAAATTAAAATCATTTTTAATAATAAAATGGTCTATTCCAAATTTTATGTAAGATTTTTGATGTTAAATTATTTATTTACAAACCACATAATTTTTATGTACTTATGGTTCAGTATAAGAGACTTCCGTTATAGCTGTTCTTATAAATTGATTAATCTAATAGACATTTTGTTTTTAACAATGTTGTAAATTGGAAGTACAAGTGTGTTCCACATTTTTCTTTAGAAGTAATATCTAAAACCTATAAAAGAGTAACAAAATCCAACAGTGTAGTTTAATGTAAAAATTATATCATTTTGAGCATTTGAAAGCTTAAAATTACATTTAGAAGTTGAGGCTAACTTGACTTGAAACCCAGCAACTTAGATGTTTGTTTGAAGGATTTTATGTCAAACGAAGCATATAGGTGGAGCTACTTGGTGCTTCATTTAAACAAAATGGTGCAATAAATATTAACTATAAACATCAACTTTGAAATGTAAGTCACAGTTTTTAGTTTTAAGAAACATTCTTCTGATGTTAGCTTTCCAAATTAAAAGAAATACTCAAATTGTCTACAAGCAATTTATATATATTTATCTGTATTTTACAAATAAATTCACATGCTTTTCAATTGAATCATTTGTAAAAAAAAATAGAACAACAACTATGTGGACACGTGGTATTGAGAGATGAAGTTTTTACATGTGCACCTATTTTCAACAGTTTATAAACTGGTAATGAGATGATAAACAATTCATATGTCTAGGTATAAACTGTGTTCGGATGCAGAGCTACCACCTGATTATAAAGTTGAAGAAACTGATGATGATTTGCTTCTAAACACAGGTGTGTATTAGTTTTTTTGTCAGTTTAGATTGTTTTTCTTGTTTTGCTTTACAAGAAGCAGAATTATGATTTTGACAGATAACATGTAGGCATCATAAATTTAGTATCTAAATTTTTATTATAAAATACAATTCAATTCATTACAACTACTTATGAAATTACTCTTGATAAAAAAGCTATTATACTATTATTAAATCAATTCCCAAGCAATAATTCAAAGTTACAGAAGTTGCATTAATGCACAATTGAGCATACATTATTCAAAGCATTCTGCCTGTATGCAAAAATTGGCTTTATGTGTGTGTAATTTTGTTTTCTTTTACGTCCATATCATGGCTGGACATAACTACAAAAGGTCTTACATTTCACATAATACAATCACAGTCAATTGAATTTCTCTAGTTTCTTTGGTATATTTGCTTGGATTGTACAGTTTTATTGGCATTTAGTAATAGTAGACTGTTTGTACTGTTACCATGGTTTTAACAGCCCATGAGGCTTAATATCCTTTAGCCTTGTAATTCAAACTGAGAATAACCCAAATTCAGGTTATATAGGCTTTAGATGGTTAATTTTTCATTAGAAACTGAGCATGTTCTAAGAATTTATGAATGAAAATAAAGAAAAATGTGTCAACCACACTATATCTTTTATATTCAACACCAACAAGACCTTTCATCTAATATCACCGTTCATCAGGCTGGCTGGAATACAACAGATGTAGTACTGGTCAAAATGCTACTTACATGATCAAATTTTGTAATGCCTGGTGAAGGCTACTGTGTTAGACCATGTAGACTGTAAATTAATTAAACATTTTAATTTGCAGGTATAAATCTCAGAATAATTGGTCTTAAATTATGAGTATTTTTAAAATTAAAGCTGGGCATATTTTATAATCGAAATTTAGACATTTTAGATGTATATTCTTTTAAATGATGCCTGGGCTTAAAACTCAAAGTGCAATTCTTTTGAATGAAAGACTTAGCAGAAAGCCATCAAAAGTATTTTATTTATTTATATTATAATTACTAAAGAATAGGTAATTTACAGCAATACATGGAATTGATATTGATAAGTATTTTATCTATTTATTATTAAATCTATAGTAAGTAATTCACAATAATTTTTACCAAGATTAGTTTTAATTTCATACTTTCAGGTTTCCAGACTTACTATTACTGTAGATACAGCTAGGCCTAAAGTTACAGCATTAGACCTATCACTACGAATACAGTTTCACATTTTGTATACTTAGCCTTCCCAATTGATAGTTGCTTAAAAAGATAGACTTATTAAACAGTTGATAAATTTTTAAATATTTGATGTATAACAAAGAATATGTACTAGAGAAGGCAGGAATTTCTTATTTTGGTAAACTAAAAAGACCCTGATTATTGGAAGAAAGAGAGCCTATGATTCTGCTTATGCTATTCTCCTCTAATTTTTAAATTACACCTTATAAAATCCAGGGGAGATATTATTGGACCAATCTTTTCATACATGTTGAGATAATTCTTGATTTACAAATTTAAATAAGTATTCAGAATACACATGGTGTTGGATAGTACTAAAATTCTTCTAACATCTGCAAGCCTGTTTAGACAGTACTGTTTCATTACTATTACTATTTTCGATCACCAAATGAAAAATGTAAGCTGTAAGCACTGTATTTGTAGTGTGAAAACAGTGGTTAAAATAACTCTTAGTATTATACAACCACCAAACAAATTACAATCATTCATAACATTTGATTTCTGTTACTTAAGATACAGAGTCTCTGTATTTGTAGTGTGAAAATAGTGGTTTAAATAACTCTTAGTATTATGCAGCCACTAAGCCACCAGACAAATTACAATCATTCATAATATTTTATTTCTGTTACTTAAGATACAGCGTCTCTGTATTTGTAGTGTGAAAATAGTGGTTTAAATAACTCTTAGTATTATGCAGCCACTAAGCCACCAGACAAATTACAATCATTCATAACATTTGATTTCTGTTACTTAAGATACAGAGTCTCTGTATTTGTAGTGTGAAAATAGTGGTTTAAGTAACTCTTAGTATTATACAGCCACTAAGCCACCAGACAAATTACAATCATTCATAGCATTTGATTTCTGTTACTTAAGATACAGAGTCTCTGAACAGTTCTATGGCAGATGACATCTCAACCCATGGAAGTACACCTCTACATACTCCAGACAGTCAAAAATTAAAGATATCACCTTTCATTAAACCTAAAAAAGCAACAGTATGTAAGTGCTATTTTTACCTAATTTTCTTTAATATTTAAAATTTTTCTCTGTGTTGTATTATTTTAATACTGCAGTATAAAAGATTTAATACAGTTTAATAGTGTTAATCACGTTCTCTGTTATTTTTATGTGTTATTAATATTGTTTTGGCATGCTTATCCTATAAAAGTTTGGCATGACCTGGTGGTTAAGGTGCTCGACTCACAATCTGCAGGCCTCATTTTCTAATCCCTGTCCCACCAAACATGCTCACCCTTTCAGCTGTGGGGATGTTATATTGTGACAGTCAATTCAACTATTTGTTGGTTAAAAGGGTAGCCCAAGAGTTGATGGTGGGTGATGATGACTAGCTGCCTTCCCTCTAGTCTTGCACTGCTAAATTACAGATGGCTAGTGCAGATAGCCCTCATGTAGCTTTGTGCAAAATTCAAACCAAACCTACAAAAGTTAATAGGATAGGCTATGCAAACAAAACTAAACGGATTGTATTATATTTACCAAACAAAATAAGTTTATTGTGTTTATTGAAACTAACAATCTATTTTAGTTTTCTATATTACAAATTCATGAGTTCATATGATTATTTGAAATGTTAAGAGATATCTCGGTAGAATACAGCATTTAGCAACCTGTTTTTCATGTTCACATAACATTTTTTATAAACAGTATAATAAAATATTTTTTTTGAAAAATGTTTCAAATTTCTTATGCCTGAGAATAAACACATGGGTATTTAGCAAATTATGGTGCAGTAGAAACCTCTTTGTGATATATTAATTTGTGGTTTTTAATGTGTTGAGCATTTAGCATTTATTTCTTCTTTAATGCCTTATAAATTTCTTATTTTCTTCACCAAAACTACAAAATTGTAACACACAGTGTAAAATTTTTGTGAGACTTTAATTTTCATACCTTAACTTATGAAATTCTTACCAGTTTGTGCGTTTTATTATATATATGTATATTATTCTTTAGTTCAGCCATTTGAAACTTGGAAATATTGGAGTTTAGTTCATATGGCAAATGGTTTATTGTGATAATTTATTTCTTTATTAATCAGAAGAAGTTGGGCTTAGCCTGATGATTATAGTGCCAAACTGTGATAATTTATTTCTTTATTAATCAGAAGAAGTTGGGCTTAGCCTGATTATTATAGTGCCAAACTGTGAATCTGATAACTGTGATAATTTATTTCTTTATTAATCAGAAGAAGTTGGGCTTAGCCTGATGATTATAGTGCCAAACTGTGAATCTGATAACTGTGATAATTTATTTCTTTATTAATCAGAAGAAGTTGGGCTTAGCCTGATTATTATAGTGCCAAACTGTGAATCTGATAATTGTGATAATTTATTTCTTTATTAATCAGAAGAAGTTGGGCTTAGCCTGATTATTATAGTGCCAAACTCTGAATCTGAGGGTGTACAATTTATTCTCATTGTCATAACTGTGCTCAGAACTTTGGGGCAATGGGTGTATTATAAAAGTGACAATGAAATCCCACTATTTGATTAGAGTAACCCAAGAGTTTGTGGTGAGTAATTTTAGCTAGCTGCCTTCTCTCCTAGTCCTTCAGCTCAAAATTAAGGACAGCTAGTACAAACAATTTTTTTGTAGCTGTGCATGAATATCAGAAACAAACAAGTAAAAAATATACAAAACAAATTATTTCTAAATTTAAGATGGTTTCTTTTGTTTTGTTTGTATAAAAAGTGTGACATGTGCTCATGACTTGTCAAGAAAATTGGAAAATACAGTGTTATTACAAGTAATTGTTTTTTTGTTTTTTTTGTCTCATCCACATCTAACTATTTTGGTATAAATTAATTTCATTTGAAATGGTTTCAAATCACTGATTTACCAAACTATGATAAGGTCATTAGGAAGGCAATAATATTGATTACAGAAAAAATTATTTGAAAGCTTTGTATAATCCTTGCAATGTATGCAATGAAGTTTATTTTATAATATTTAAAATTTTCACCAACAACTTTCAATTGGAATAAAGTACAGTAATAATAATACTTGTACCTGTGGACAACCTCAAAGAAGACCAACAAGAATGATTATTCCATTGGCTGCCATTATGTCAGCTATGAGGGGTGCGACAGTAGTGACATTCAACTGTATGGGTTCAAACTCTGTGTTTATAAGCACTTTTTTCCCGTAAAGTTATACATACTAATAGTTATTACAATTCTTAATTTATTGATTGTATCTTCACAAAGTTTTGTAAACATTGCAGTTCTCCTCAACTGACAAAATTAGATCTTTTAAGTAAAGTATTTTTACCAAAGAAATTATGAAGTAAGACACTAGTTAGTCTGAGTCAAGATAATTTTCATGTTAAGATTGAATATACTTTTTTCATTTTATAGTTTTCAGGATTCATTTGCATAACTTATAGACTTCCAAAATGAATATTAAAAGTTATTTGTCAGTAAAACTTTATATTTTATCTGTTATTTTCTCCAATTGACAGACAGTATAACATTATAAAATAATATGAAATAAACCTAACTTACAATTTTTTATTCCTAGAATGCCTGCAGATTGTAACAATATATTACATTTATTTATCTTTAACAGTTTACATATGTTTTTACTAAATTTTATTGTTTTATTGCTCCTTAAACCATGCCTAACTTATCACACAGCAAAAGCTATATTACACTTAGTGAAAGCAATGATCAAGTTACAATATTGATTTAAAACAAATGTCACGTGATAGGGACAAATGAATGGTGGAAATTTATTTACATATTTCCTTTTAAAATGATTGAATTAATACTTAAGTAATATTAAAGTAGTATAATTAAATTTTGAATGTAACTCTGTAAAAAAGGTCGTGACAACATAACGTTAGCATTATTACAAAAATAAACTGGTACTCATCGACACATGTCCTTTGGAAAGATATAAAACGCTAGCCCAGGTTTTGTACCTTTGTAATTGTTGCAGTTTATGGTGGGTCAAGATAGTTCACTTTGTGATTTCCACTGACTTCTCATTGGGGCAAAACTTCTGTTTATAGTAGTCTGTTTATTGCCCTTTCAACCTAAGCCATATAGTGGTGCCAGAATTGTACTGATAGGCTTTTATGTTTTATTGATCATTCTTGGTTGGCTACTTCTTTGGTAACCTTAAACTTATAAGGTGTGTTCTTATTTAATACTCAATGTATACTGTAAGACATTTTTTTTATATGTCATGTAACTTTTCCAGAGTATTCATACACTGTCAGTTGTAACTTTGACTGGAATTTTACACAAATCAGGAAACTTGAAAGTCAGCCAGGAAAATGGAAATTCTTAACTATGTTCAAAACATCCAGACTATAAGACCCCTTGCAGAATTGTTATTTAACATGACCTTTCTTGTTGCACCTCTCTGGTGCTGCTGAATGTATTGTAGTCTATAGCATTCAAATATTGTACCATGTAACATTGTCTACTAAAAAGTTGTAATTAAGATGTTATAAATATCATTTTTACTTAATAAAATACAGAATCTTTAGTCTGAGCAAAGTAATAGTATAAAATGACTTATTTCAAAATATATTAGAGTAAATATAACAAAGGTTTATTATTTTAAGCTTGTTTTTATAAATGTGTTTAATTTTTTTTTTTTTCAGTAACACAAGAAATTGTTTTTGTCACACACATAAAGGATCCTGATCATTTTTATGTGCAACGTTTTTCTGAAGTAAAGAAATTACAAAACCTAAGTGAGAATATTAACAAATGGTGCAGGAGTCGTGAATCTTCACAGCAAGTTCCAAAAGTTTTAACTGTTGGTAGGTCAATCGAATTATGGGTATACATAAAATAATTTAAGGCATTTTCAAGGTACAAAAAATATTTGTCAATTTTTTTTTCTATTGTTTCAATCAACTGAATGGTAAGTTGTTGATTACTGTTTCTGTAGGTTAGGACAGAAGTTGTCATGTTTGTAGTTAATGCTATATAGGCATTGATAAAGTTTAAACCAACTTAGTGAGTATGAGGATTGAACCACACGTAGATAGTGAAACTAAACTCCACTCCATACCTGAACCTTAAACATTAACCTGTGTTGATGCTTTAGCAATTATTTTTAACATGTTGACTAATAAATTAAAATCTTAAGATATAAGCTTGAATTGCTATTTGTAGTTTCCTTGTGCAAATAGTGAATGAGAGGTAATTATGTTATCAGACAATTCTTGGTATTATGTGTGTTTTTCAAAATATTTACTGGGGTTACACCAGGATTTTTTCAGCTATATTACCATGAAAAAAAGTGGAAGAAAAACTATACGTTTTTCAAGAAAATTCTATTTCCCTTCCTATTTTGTTAGTGGTTACTAACTGTACTGTAAATCTAACAACATTTCATTGTACAATACCTTTAGGTTAGGCCTGTAAACATAATTTAGCAGTGCTTGAGAAAAGCCACCATTACTGCTATTTATACAAAACCACACTTCTCTCTGAAAGGCCTGGCATGGCCAGGTGGTTAGGGTGCTTGACTCTCAATCTGAGGGTCGCAGGTTTGAATCCCCATTCCACCAAACATTAACTGTGGGGTATTATAATGTGATGGTCAATCCCACTATTTGTTGGTAAAAGAGTAGCCCAAAATGCGTAGGTGATGAGTAGCTGCCTTCCCTCTAGTCTTTCACTGCTAAATTAGGAACTGCTAGCACAGATAGCTCTCATGTAACTTTGCACAAAATTAAAAACAAACCAAACTCTCTGAAAACCGAGTCAAGTAATCTCATTCATTAGTAGTTTCTTTGTTTTATAACATAGTTTGAATTAAAGATTAAAAAATAAACTTCTTTAGGAAAGAATTTTTTAAACTATTTTCTTTCACAAAATCTTTTTTTTTAATGCTTCATTTTTTTATTTCTAATTTAAAATAATAATTGCTAATGTTTCTATCTAAAAAAACCAAAAAGGCCCAAACTAGATTTATCATTTGACATTATAAAAGGAAAAGAAGTGAAATTCCAGACAGACAAACATCAACATCCCTTAGCGAGTTCAATTCCACTGCTCGTGTTATGATTTCTAGGAAACCCCTGTAACCTGTTAAACACACAGTAGCTTACCTCAAACTCTTTCATAAACAATGCTTGTTGCATTTGCAACATAAAAAAAGATAGTCAATAATTAGGCTGTTCCATTTTATTACCACAATAAAGGTTACACCAGTACAGTGGTCACCAGGTATAAGGTGCATTACTTTGTGGCTTGATTTTTTTGCATCTGAGAGACTTGGTGAGAAAACAGTTCTGAGTTTCAGTAAAAAGATGAAAAAAAACAACAACTGCACTGAATTTTTATTTTTTAAATGAATTTTTTTCCCATCTAGTTTCTATTGGATTGTCTAACAAAAAGTATTATATCCCAGGTTGTTTTTCTCCTATAAGGTTCAAATAGTATTACAATGGCAACTTCTGAATAAGAAGCTGAGAATCTTTATACTAAAGTAATTATTGTTTTTGAAGTTTCCAAGAACTCTGTAAAATAAAAAAACAAAGCTTAATTAAGCCATGCACAGAAACTATTAACTATCTTTAATTATAACCAATATTAATATAAACGATATCCTAAAACAATTAATATTCATGCATGTTTTCACTAATTAATGTGTAAATGTTAGATTAAAGTTAAAAAAAATGAACCACTTAAAAATCATTGACTTTAGTTTTAAATTTGATAGCATATTTTGTACGTAGTTTTTGTATGTGATAAAACATCAATTCCAGTACCTCCACTAACACTAATAGCTATTTCTCGATCTTCATCTTTGCCATCTAACATTGTGTTTGCTTGCTCCAGTTTTTATATACCACACTCGACTGCCCTCGGCAATATCTAATCTGCAAAACTTTACGCCAGCCCTCACACACCCTATATGCAGGTACTGTATATAAGCACTGTATGCAGGCAATAAAATCACTTTTTCTTGACACAGTGCGAGCATTTAGACTAATGTTTTGTGATTTACATTTTCTTAGTTTTCACTTTCTAATAATCGGGAATTTCTTTGTTTTGTTATCTAGAGGTATATTTCATTGAATTTGTTTTTTCCTACAAAAAAAAATTAGATATGGATTCCAGTGTAACAGTTTCAGGCACGGTGGCTACTCAGCCTTTGTCTATTCCTACTTTGTTATCTAGTGGTTAGTAACTTATCTGTCTTACAGTTATTGCTCTTTTCTCTTTTAGGCCCCCTTTTGGTTTATTTTGGATCCCACTCGGTGGTGAGTGTTGGCCAGTCAGATATGCTTGTATTTAAATTCCGCACTAGCAACCTTTATATCGGTTCCTGGTTGCAATAGGTTCTGTCGAGATGAGGTGTTCCATAAGACCATCTAGATGCAATTCTGGATGGTGATATCTTATTACAATATTTCTAATGAACCGCTACTCATGGACTATCATGAGTAAAACTAAAGGGGATTTTGCCAGTCCCTGTTGATCTTAGAGCTGAATCAGTCAAGATCAGTTTACTTTTAAAAATTAGGGAATGTTGTTCACCTGTTGCACTGTCTTCGGAGACCTGTTCCTCAGGACTCTCCAATGCTTATGTTCCCCCCTTACTTCTACTATTGGAGCTCAAGAGTCCTTCCACACCCAGTTCCAAGTCACTGGGGTGGTGGACAGTGGATATTCCTTTGGTGTGTTGAGTCTTCTCCACTCTCGGAGAAGAGGGCGAAGTTGGGGACCTTCCTACCTGGTTCCCTGGAAGTTTTTTTAGATGTTGATGTTGGTAGGAGCAGAACCAACCTACATAGGAGCCTACTTGGAAAACCAGTCCAGATTTGATGCTTAGCTATCCAGTGGGAGGTTTCTTGGACCCTCTTATGAACCCTGTCAAGTCTTATGTTATTCATGCAGGGGGTCTACTATCTCCTTGTAAATCTGATGCAACACAGTCCCATCTTTGGTCCTTGGTGGGGTAGTGTTCCACATCCTCTCCATAATTGCATGGATAAGTGGAATTCTCCTTGCCCACTTGGTGGGGGAGTAAAGACAATTGTTTGTAAATCCAGACTGGATGAGTTCTAGACTTTGGTGGAGAATGGCATATGATCCTGTCAATCCAGACCTTGGATGTTGCCTTTTGGACTTCTTCAGGTTAATCAGAAGGATTGTCCATTTTGGTGTTGCTTTCTTTCATAAATCCGGTGGTTTGAAACACATCATTCTGTGGTTACTGGTAAGGATCTTATCACAAAGATATATATATATATATATATCTGCAGTCCAACTGCCCTGGCCACCAATGTGGGATATGGGTACCATGACCCCTTAAATCCAACCCTATTTGTGTAACCTAGGCTGTTTGGTCAGGGCTGGACCATCATAATCGTATTATATTCCACTCCTTTCAATTTTTTGTAGTTCTGGGTGAAAAGCATACCTTTTCTGGATGTAGGTGGTGTTCCTCACTTTGATACCACTTCTTGTGGTACATATTTGTTTTCTGCAGACGATTTCTATATGATCTGTCCTCACTGGCCCCTCCACCTTCTCAATGTGGGATTCTAGGTATTAGCATCAGCAGAAGTATGCATGTTTTGGAAGTTATCATTTTCCTAAACTGAAAATGTATTATCAAACATACTTACCTCTGCTGATACTCTCCCTCCTTTCCTCCTCACTAAGATCCGATGCTAGTGACTGGAATGAGGTAAGTCTTGAAAAAGTGATTTTATTGTCTGCATAAAGTGCTTTTATATACAGTACCTGCATAGAGGGTGTGTGAGGGCCAGTGTCAACTTTTGTAAATTAGATATTGTCGAGGGCAATCGAGCGGGAGTATATAAAGACTGGAGCAAGCTAACACAGCGTTAGATGGCAAAGATGAAGACTGAGAAATAGCTATTAGTGTCAGCAGAGGTAAGTATGTTTGGAAATACATTTTCAGTTTAGGAAAATGATAACTTCTCTTTTGCAGGGGACCTCTTCCTTGTTCAATATGGACTTGATAAAAAGTGGTATCGTGCTAGAGTGTTGAGAATACTTCCTTCTGCTAAAGATCCAGGAAGAGCAATGGATACAGGAGAGCAAAGTGAAAATATGCAGAATGTTAATAATGAGGTTAACAGGAATTTGTCTGAACATTCAAACAATGGAAACTCATTGGGAGGAGAAGTAATCCTTCACACTTCTGGAAATAATACCAGTCAATCAGCTAATTTTTCCCCAACAGATAACCAGGAAAGTTTAGAAGAAAAGGAAGCAGTTCAGAAGGAAAACATGGAAGAAATGGAAAGTTCAGAATCATATAGTTATACTTCTTGTGAATCACAAAATACAAGTGAGGGTGAGAATGGAAATTTGCCACAAAATGTTCATGAACAGAGAAACCTCTGTGCTGATCCTGTTACTAGTCCAGAAAACGTTTGTGACAATATCCGTCTAGTTGCAGACCTACCAAACTTTGAGGATACTAAACAAGACATCATTGTTTCTGGAGAAAGTAGAGTTGAAGTTCTCTATGTAGATTTTGGAAATACAGAAGTTGTTCCACAGTCCAGGTAGGAACATGTTTGATGTTGTTTATTGTATAGACTTAGTAAGAACAGGAACCTGCTATAGGTATGCGTTATTTTATACAACGTATAATTCTACACCTTGTAACTTGTTACTCGCTCCATCCTTAACCCTCTTGTTATCGGCTTGGTGGATTACACCAACCTTGTGACCCCAAAATGACCATCATAGTTTCCATACTATAACTTTTAATATGTTTTGTATATCTTCACAAACTTTTTCAAGCTTTTAGTTAACATTACGAGTCTTTCGTAGACAAAAAATCAGAACTTTTGATGAGGAATTTTTACTGAAAATTTTTCTATGAAAAATGGAGACAGAGTGTTAACTGCACCAAGTGCAAAGTGGTTTTTCATGTTAAGATTAAGAATGCTTTTCTTCATCTAAAATTGTCAAATATCATTTGCATAATCTCTAAAATTTACTTAATAAACATCCAACTTTTTTCTCTACCAAAGCTCTATACCCATTGTGTAAATTACCCATTTTTTTCTTTCTACTATGACTTCAGATAGTAACATGAAACTACAAGTGTTTATCCTAAATAGCTTAAAGCTTCTTGTAAAAGTATGTGATTTTTGACTTAATGTTATTGTTTTATTGCCCTTTGAACCCTATCTAACTAATAATACCACCACACAAGTTGTAAATCAGTCGGCGAATGTTCAGCTCATGTTACCATATCAAATTATATAACATGAAGAATTTTTATTATTTTTCATTATCTTACCTAATCTAACCAGTAATTTTCTCATTTTTAAATTTTAGTTACTGTTATAATAATAAATAAAGATGCACATGAAAAACAAGAAATTTAGTACTTACTTGGATCTTTTTTTTTCTTCTGTCAACTGTTGATAACTTTGGCTTTCTATTGGTTATAAATTATGTAGTGTAAAACATCAGGGAGAACTATTTGCAATCTGCAAAAGAGAGGATGTGACACATGGGTGTCACAAGTGGGTCTGATTTTCTAGTTTATGGCTCTGTAACCAGATAAGATTGAAGGCTATAAAAATTATGCTTTGCTTGAGTAATAACAATATTATAATGAATAATTTACATTAAATTTTGTATTTCTTGGAGGGGTGGTAAATAAATTGGAGAACAGGAGATACCTAGAGAACAAATGTCATAATTCTCATACTAGGAGAAATTCAATATTTTTTTTTAACATTGCATTGTAAAATTAAGAACTTAAAACTTATATATCATAAAATTTAGATTTTTATCTCCATTTTGATGTCAAGTTCATTTGTATACCATGATATAAAGTAATTTAATTAAATTTTGAATGTAACCCTGTAAAGCTTCATGATATGCACAGAAAAATATGCCTTTAAGGAAAGAGTTAAACTATTTTACAATTGTGTGTTCCCAGAAACATAACCTAAAAAATTGGTTCAAGTTTTCAGATGAGTGATATGACTGGTGAGAAGTACCTAACATTATCGTCCACAATATTTTTGCCCTTAGTGCATCGCCCTCTTTTACAAAGTTTTGCATGATAATAGAAAAGCTTTGGAAAGTGTTAGATTTTTCAGCCTGTTTCCTGATTTAGTCCAAAGAAACATGTAATTTGAACACTGAGTGTGCCCCCTCCCTATGCTATTTAACTTATATTTTTCACTTTTCAAAATAAATTAGAGAAGAGGGAAGACCTTTGTTCACACTCTCAAGTGCTGCCTCCTTCTTGACTCCAGGATTCAGTTGCCATGGCTTTTAGCCATTCCATCCCTTTCCATTCTTGGATTCCAATCTGTGGTGTCCATTTTACCCACTTGAGGATGGCTGACCTTCCTGTTTCCAATAACTCTCTCTAATGCTTTGTTTTCCTATCTTCTCTTCTTTCTTATCCATCTCCTTTGTGTATCCTCTCTTTACATCTTATCTCTGAAGACCTACACCACGATCTTGATAGTTTTTCTGTTGATCTATAGTCAGTATTTTTCAATACTGTAATTAGGGGTTCATCTTTTGCTTTGTCCCTGCTTACATGGTTTCTCTATTTTGTAACCTTCTGGGATGTGATGTTATTCTCTCTGCTGTCAGTCTCCCCCATTCTTACCTTTGTGACATCCATCTGGCACCTTTTCTTCACACTGAAGTCTTTGGGGGTTTTCCTAACACCTTGGAAGTCAGACCAAGAATGCTTGACACCTATTTTCCCTTTCCTTTTAGGCTTCTTGTCTCTCTTAACTTCCTGAATTAATGCTCATTCTTTTACCCTACACCTATTTTCCCATTTATTAAGACCTTTACTTCTTCTCAATGTCCCCACATTCTGTCGAGTTGACCATTGTATGTTATGTCAGTGGCCACCTCACTATATACCAAGTCATCGCGGGACCCTTGGAAGCACATTTGTTTCTGTTTGCAGACCTCTGTACCCTATTTGCAACCTACTGGTTGGTCATTCAAGTTTTTACACATGGCTTTTCACTTCTCATCTGTTCTTCCTCTGTCTCCTGGTCCCAGTTCATTTATCCTCCTGATTCTCAGTATCTTCTGCATATCAAGGTTGTGATATTAGACCTTTTCAACAAGAGTGTGTGTTTTGTCTCTCTCCATGGTTTTATTTTCCTTGATTTATTGTCCCCAAATAGAGTGGGGACTGATATTTTATAATTGACCTTTCTTCTCTCAACCACTGTGTAGTGGCTCCTCAGTTTAAGATGGAAGGTTTTCTTTCTCTCAGTTGGTCCTTTTCACCTGAACCATGGATGACCAAGACATCTTTTCATATATTTTGTTCGCCCCATTATTTTGATGTTTGTAATTCATTCAATGGGATCAGGTGCACCAATTTCAAGCTCTCCCCTTCAGCACTGCCTTGGCTCAGTATGTATTCAACTGACCCATGGGAGCATTTGCTTGCCACATCCACAGCCTTGGACTTTTTTTCAATTATTACAGGGGCAGCTGGATCCACCTCACCTCTTCTTGGAGGCCCTCTTTCTCACTCATGTCACTTCTTTTCTGAGAAGCTACTTGTCTAAATTGGCTGGTCAAACCTTCCAAATCATTCTTCCCTCCAACCCAATAATTTTTCTATCTAGGAGTCTTCTTCAGTTCTTGCCTCTCCTATACTTCCTGCATAAGAGGTCCTGTCTCTTTTGGGGACTTTCATATCTCTCAACTGTCTTATCCATTTAGGCTGAGCTCATGTGAAGCTTTTTCATTGGGCTTTGAGCAACAAAGGGAATATATCCTGCAATCCTCAGTCCTCTATTGTGAAGCTACTGCCTTCTTGAGGATCTGTCTTGGTGTCTGGATTGTGCCAACACTATGGTAAGCATTCCACTACTACCCTGGGTCCAGATCTCCATTTCTTCAACACATCTCTTGTGGGTTTTGGTGCATCTATGGACAACTCCATGTCCTCAAGGGTTTGGTCTCACATGGAGCATACTTTCCACATCAATATTTTGGAACTCTTGCCTATCCAACAGGTATCATCCTATTTCCTACCTGAAGTTGTGAGGCACTCGGTTATGATCCACTCAGACAATTATACAGTTGTGTTTCCCATATCAATCATCATGGTGAGACTTGATCCAGGGACCTTTGTTCCTGAACTTTGGACCCACACACATCAGATTAGTCTAACCACTTGTCTTGTCCCAGGAGCTTTAAACTTTTTGGGCAGATTGTCTCTCTCAACTGGACAGGATCCTTCCTAGAGAGTGGTCACTTCATTCTCAGATTTTATGTTGGATCTGTTCTCAGGTTAGAATTGCAGTGATCAATGCCATTACCACTTCTCTCAATTTAAAACTTTTCCTCTTCTGGTCAACAGTACCTCATCTAGGTTATGGTGGTGGATGCCTTAAGTCAAGATTTCTTCCATCTCTATCTGTATGTACATCATCCTCTTCACCCTCTCCCATGTGTCTTCTTTGATTTGTGACACACTATTCTGGGTCCTTTGGTAGCCTCTTTTGCCCAGCTCGGTCTTCATTTCCTCTTCTTCACTGAATGGCATCGAAGAAACCTCTGCCTCAGTCTTGGTCACTCTTGCTATAACTTCATACATCTGTCTTTCACCCAGTACTGTCATCCCTTTGTCTTCACGTGTGGGATTGTCTGGTCCTTGCTCATTGGTCAGGCTTATAAGTCTGTGTAGCCCTTGTTTTATTATGTTTGTATTGTATTTATACTCTCTCTGTCTATCAACAAAAGTGGTGTGTTTTTGCTACTGGTCCATCTGCTACTCTCACACCAGGCCATACTATTGTTTCCCACCTTTTGATCTTCTTTACCTAATTGTTTGACTGTAGATTTTTGGTTTCTATCATAGCAGACTATCAGGCAGCCTTGTTGTACTACCTTGTTGTCCATCTTTCCAGTTCTTCTTTATTCATTATTCCCCTTGTCCGATTCCTTTTCTCAACTAGAACTTTATTGTAGTTCTACACACTTACCCATTAGCCCAATTCCAACCATTGGCCACTTGCTATTTATACCAGTTACTCAAAACCTTCTGGCTTGTGGTCATTGCAGATCTGATATTTATGCATTGGATGCCTCCCATACTTTGTTTCACAGATCATCTTTGATCTTGCTCCTTAATGGCTCATTTCTTTCTAAATCTAGGGCAGCTGAGGAGGGAGATCGTTCCTTCTTTTTCATTGATCTGAGCCTGCTATGGTCATACTTATCCTGATTATCTTTTGTGCCCAGTTCAAACAGTAAGGTGTTACTTGGCATGCACAGCTCCATTTTGGAGTTTCTTCTGTCATTTATTCTTGCCATAAGACCCATCTTCTTCTAGAGGTCTCTCCTCCTCTATGATTATCAGATGGATTCGTCAACTTGTCTGGATTGTTTATCCTTTTTGGATGGAGATCTAGCAGGCTGTATAATGTCTCATCACATCAAACCCACCACATGATGCACTCTCTGGCCTCACACTTTTGATGATGCTTGAAGGCTGGAATATGGCCTACACCCAACACCTTCATCTCCCATTGCCTCCACCATCTTTGTCTCCCTTAGGTTATCACCTTTGTCCAATCTCCAGTCTACTCGCTGTCTTTAACAGTTAAGTACCTCTTTTACTTTCTTACCTGTTTTTACTCTTATACAATTCAGAACTTGCTCAGAGGCAGGTATTATTTCTCTAAATCTGCATAGAATCAAGAGTAACAGAAAGTGTTAAACCCATCCACCATGGGTCCAAATGTGCCCACTGTTGAGATAGAGTTTTCTACAAAATCACTAATATCTGCCTACTTCCTTGGCTCACATATGGCAACTTTCAAATTAGTTTTCATTGTTACCTTTTGGAGTATCTCTAGCAAAAGATATTTATGGTGGTTAGGTATGATCAGGTCCATGCACCTCTCTGGTGTGTCCCCTACATGCATCACCCACCCTTCCAGTCATCTAGTTGAGCACAGAGCATGGAATACCCTTTTTCCTAGCCACCTAGTGGTTTGGCCAGCCAGATGGGGCAAAGTGTTCTCCTCACACAACAGGGAAGAACTTAGTCTATGTCCCTGCATATATAAGGTAAATTATACAACAGAACATATACCAAACCGTAGAGTCTTTTCATTGCCCTAGCCACACTACACCTTATGTCCTGACTACCTGTTGTATGCAACTGCTTCGTTGATAATGTCTTTTACCACCCATCCCTGTGACATATGGCTCATTTTGCCTTCCTCCTTTCATACTTTCACCTGAGCAAATAATATAACCTGCATGAGGTGGATGCAATCTCCCAAGAGTGTTAGCCCCCACTATAGGGTGTCACTGTCCATGGGGTTTCCCCTGAAATCGTCTTCTTCAAAGGGAGCTCATATAGGATTTCCCAATTGCTGTGCTGAGAGGTAAGGATATCATTTAGGTTAATATTTTCCTTACCTGATAATGTCTTTTCAATAGATACCTTTCTGCACACCTTTCCACCCTTTCTCTCTCTCTCCTGCTGTTGCTCATTATTCTTGACTGGTTTAAAAATGAAGTTAATTTTGAGTGCAAGTGCTTATGCGGATCTATTGCACATGGAGGATGTGTTGTCCTGCTGTTGGTGGAGGATCATTGCCGCATGATGACTACAGTTTACATTAAAACGCATCTTAGGTGGGAGATAGCTCAAGGCTAGGCGGCATGTGCAAAATCTCAAAGGCAGAATAGGAATAGCTAGTGTGTGCAGTGAGGTAAGTATCTATTGAAAATATATTTTCATGTAAGGAAAATGTTAACTTTTTTAATAAAGCATTTTTACCAAAAATCTGTCTATAAATTACAAAGCCTGTAATGAGTCAGTTTAAGTGAATGGTGATTTCTGTGCTAAGAATAAAAAATATTTATTTTCATTTTACAGTTTTCATGTCTCATTTAGATAACTTCAAGAACCTTCTAAATGAATATCAAAAGTTTGTTTCAGTAACTTTTATATTTTATATTTTTTGCTCTAACACTGACTGTAGCAAAATCAGCAAAATACAGTGAAATCAGATGTTGAAAAATATTAAATAAAATAAATACCTTTTTTTTTCTTCTCCTTTGAATTCATAATTAATCTCAAGGTTTTCAAATTATTTATCTCTGCAATTTCAACTGTTAAAATTTTCACATTAGTTTTCTCTGAATTTTGCGATTTTATTATTGTACTTTGGACCTACTATTGCAGATGAAAAGCAATAAATTACAGTGGGAGTCCATTAGCTGTTTTCCTTAGAGATTACATAAACACCACACTGGGGTTGAAATAATTCCAACTTTTCACATGCCCTGAGCGTGTGAACCATCTTAGTTGACTTGCCTACAGCTGATTCAAGATTGATCTTGCTCGAAATATTCAAGAGGAAATAACTTACTTTGCATTGTATTTTCAGGGAGCTACAAGATTTCCAGTAAAGGAATCAATTTTCTTTCTAATACCTGAAGTGAATATTTATTGAACAACATTGAACAATTGATCAGAAGAAATCAAACTGTATGAAAAACTCCAAGAATGACAGATGCAACAAGTGATAATAACTGTTCTACCTTTAACATAGGGTTGTGTCAAGAGTTCATTTTATTCACTGACCTCTGAATCTGATGTCCAAGGAGCTTCATCTGCAGGTAAAGTAGTGTCATCTCCAGACTCTTGGACAGACAGGTCATCTACAGACACTGGTTAAGTTGAGACATCCTTGAATTTCTTCCAAGACCCATATGGACTTACACTTGGTTGCCTTCTTTGTTACCCAGCTGAGAGTCTTCTTAGTATAGCAGAGTCCTATATACATAAGATTTGAAGGCTGTGCTTGATTTGAGTTTGGATCTCCTTCTGATTTATTCTTTTCATCAGATTGAATCTGTGTTCATCTTCCTCAGTACTGATTGATAGTGTTAGAATCAACTTCACAACGAGCATTATTTGATCATCTGTCCCCAGCATTGCTTAGAATCATGTACCACAGATTATGTGACATATGTTGCTGTTGTGTTCTTTCAGGTGGCTCTTCAGCAGTTCAAACATACTGTTGGTATGAATGTGTTTTATAGTCACTCAGAAAAACCTATACACTAGATAGGTGAAATTAAGAAAAAGTTTCATTGGCGACTATTTAGTTCTTCACATTATATAGTTGCACAATAGCAGATATAATACATAAACTTAGTATTCCGTAAATTGTTTAATCTCGAAGTTCAAGGGAGGTCCAGTTCAATCTACACTTTGATCAATGTGTGTTATTGGGTTATACTAGTTTTGGAGAATTCCGCTCCTCATCTGTAACCCTAAACACAAGTTAACCAAAGAGAGATAAGCTAGATCTATATCACAGTGAAAAAGTATCAAACATACTGTTGTTGTGAACGTACTTTATTGTCATTATGAAAAAAAACTTATACACTGGATACGTAAAGTTTATATATAACTTTTGGTTTGAAAGGGATTGATTTACTTGTTTTGTCAAACTATTCACATAAACAATAATACACTCCATGTTTGTCACATTTGAGCCAACAGCTACCATTTTCCCATGCAAGTTGGTAACACTCATGACCAATTTTTCTCGTATTCATCTGCCTGCTCTTAGTTCTGGCATTATTAACAATATCAGAAGATTTGAAACCAAACTTAAATGGCACAGTGAAGACTTTACCATTTCGTATTGATACTTTGCACTTGAAAAACAGTGGATAACCCAGTCTTCAGAAGCAACAGGTTAGCCTCCAATAGTAATTAGGTTTATCAGTTCCATTTGTAGCAGGGATAAACAGGTGGACAAGCCCCTTTTTATGAGTTAGACACCAGATAAATACATTTCTGAATGGTAAATTAAATCTTTTAAGGGTACAGAAAGCTTAAATAAGTTAAGTGAAATCATGTAGTATCCAAATTCCTCATAGTATAACATCTCTTATTACATTTTTTCATCTTGTATTTCCCCAGTGCTAAAAATGGTATCTTCTATATTAACAATGTATTCCACATTCATGGGCACTTCCATTTTGTTATATGAATTATTCCCAGTGAGAAATTGGATTGAGATGTGTATACTGAATGGCATATAGACTACATGTACTGATACTGCATAGTTTGTATATTTCAATCCTCAGATGAAACTTTAACATTTCCAGTAAGGAAATTTTATTGAACAACTGTTCAATTAATATAAATTAATGTTTTCTTACTACTATTCCAATAACTTTTAACATTTTGTTTAGATATTTGAACTTATTTCTACTTCCTTTGATAACATTACTTTGTGCCAAAGGGCAATTCATCACTACAAGGTAAATGGAGAATTCTACACACTAAACATATGGCATTTTACCAGAAGTTGTCATTACTTCTATCTAGTAAAAACAAACATAACTAGTGATGCATAGCCATTTTTGGGCTCACATTTCCCTGTGACGGGTTTACTGTTACATTGAAGTTGGGTTGCCTGTGGCAGTTTTAGGTTGTCTTGGACAGGCATTATTTTGACCCATATCACATGATCTTTACACTCACTGTTTAGCTGTCATAAGCCTCAGTGAACCATACACATTTGGGTCCCCAACAAATAATTCATGCATCTTTCAGATATGTATTTTATAATACAAAATAACATATCATTCACAAGAATGTCCCAAAAGTGCTATAATTTCTAAGTAAGATATAAGTAGATTAAAAAAAATAACTATTCAGACCAGTAAATCTGTGACCATAAGACAATACATTTATATAAAGTGAACACTCTCCCTGCCAAATTCAAAAGGTTGTTTGTAAACACGATATATAGAATTTAATTATAAATGTGACCCTCAGCCCCAAAAAGTTGACTAGCAAACAATCTTTCAAGTTGGAGAGAGTGAGAAGCTCTTTTGATGGGATTGACAAAATTATTATATTAGCAAATAAAGATAGAAGGTTCAAATTTTAAATTCTTGCATGTAATTAGGTATATTTTATGATCCTAATTGATGAAAATCACCTATTTGAGAAGTTAAGTTCTGAAATAAAGAGTCTAGAGCTCAGGTGCAACACATGACAGAAAAATGAAGATTGAGAATTTTTTTTAATATTTCTTTTTGAAATTAAAGATAAAACTGAGATAATAAGAACTTGAATTATAAACTATGTTTATTGACGTACATTGATAGTACAGGTATTTGATCAAATTTTAAATGTAACATCGTGAAAGGCAATGACACTTTTACCCTGATGTAGCAAAAGAGTTAACAGAAGTTTGTAAAAGCTGTGTTTACTGTTTTGAACTATATCACTGTATCTGGTATATGAAAATTATCTATCACTCTGCTAAGATGAGTTTCTGTGTATGAATTAAGTAATACATGTAAGAGCATCTTTTGAATGGTTTTTATGACATCCTTCAATTATGTTTAATAGATGTAATTTTTCTTTGTGTTTCCACAGATTGAGATCAATTCAGCCAAAGTTTTTGAGCCTCTCCTGGCAGGCCTTACGGTGTGCACTGTGGGACATTGTACCAAGTGATAAGGTAAGGAATAAAACAAAACGAAAGAAATATAAAACTTTAATATAAAATTTATTTAAGAGCTCTATCTTCATAGTATTTTTGTCACGTGTTTTCCTCTGGAGCTTTAAGTGCTACAGATACAGTTTTGTAATTAATGTAAACACATTCTGTACATAAATATGTTTATTGTAGAAACTACATCTATTGCAAAACTCCAAGTATATTTCGAATGAGCTGTGAATAAAAATTGTCTTTCATGATCGATTAAATTTTTTATCATTCTTATTGTAATTTAACTAGAGATTGTATCTGTGGAAATCGGGATTAATTACATGTTTTGGTTTTATCAAAATTGATCTTTTTTAAAAGCTACACTATACAAACAACTTCAAAATTCCAACCTGTTCTATCTGTACTCCATACTTATTTACCCTTTTGCTGCTTAGTTCGGATTTATCCGAATAAACATTTATACCCACTGACTTCAAATTTCGGATTTACCCCACAGCTACCAAAAAAATTTACCTCTATTGCGACATGCAGGAATATTCCCCTGTACTTGAAACAATCACCAAACCTGTGTGTGTGCTGCCATCTGTGTTCTACACCATGAAACCTAGATGATTACATGCCTCATTACAAAATTGCCAACTTTGCAGGAACACATATAGAATCTATATCAAGACAGTTTCTTTACATCATGGATATTGTTATCTAAATATTTTTTTTTATATTTTGTAAGGATTTCGACCTCTTATTAACTTACTTTTGTCTGTATTTATGGCATTTACTAGAGAACACTTTTCTTCGAATTTTCCTCACTTTTTTTCTGTCAGATATAGAAAATACAGCATCTTTCAATATTGAAAAAGTAATATAAAGGGTCAAATTCATACTTTTATTTCTTGGTGGATAATTCTCACTTTTTTTTGGGAATCAGCCTGAAAATTTATTGCACAGTGAAAGGGTTAACTTGTACCATGTGCATTTTTAATAATATGTCTTATCATGTCATTGGGTGTATGTTTTTTTTTCATGGAGATCTACATAGTACAGTAATTCAGAAGTTTTAAGTTACTTGTAAATATCATAAATTCTTCATGTATAAATAATCATATTATAATAAAGTTTTTTTCTTTATTTTACTTAAGGTTGCTTGGTCTCAGAAAGCTATCAAACTATTTGCACAGTTTGTAGCTAATAAACAAGTTAGGATGAAAGTAAGTATAATGAATCTCTTCCTTACTTAACCCTTTTATGTCAAACAGTATAAAGTACATGTTAAGCAATATCCTTGTAGAATCAGCTGTAACGATTAAGAAATATCACTAGGATTTTGTCTAGTACATTTTATTAATGCATCATTTATGTTTATTTCATTATTTTGCATTTGTGGGAATCAAGTTTTTGTCCATCTCTAGTTATTAGAAGTATACATCAATATTTAATAGCTTCGTGTAACTTGCCTAAGCTTTATACTTTTCCAGTTCACAAACTAATAATGGTAAGAAGCTCAAACCAAAGTGTTGTACTTACCATGTACTGCTTAATATCTGTTATGACAACCATAAGTGGCCTCTCCTTGTTTAAAAACTGTGAAATGTTTTAGTTGACTTGTATTTGATCATGGAAATTGTAAAAAGCTTGTTAATTGAATAACTACACTGAAAGTAAACTCATTAAAATACATCTAAAGATTTATATACTTTAACTCTTTCAGCATGGGCTCGATCCCTAAGACTGACCTCGTAACCATTTTGTGCTTGTTGTAGTTTTCATGCTATAACTTTTAAATTGGTAAGCAAATGTTAACGACATAACTAAAAAATCATAAATTACTACATCAATACCATAGAATTCAACTATAATTTATCAAGCAATCAGCAATATCTTAGCAAATTGAAAAGATAAGAGGCTCTTATTTTATATTCTAACCTGTCAATATCAGTAATTTGAGTTTCTAATTCATACAAAACTATAGACTTAGTATTTTGACTTCATAAACATCTAATTTGAACCAGTGCTGCATTTAAAATATCACGTGACACACAAAAAGCGATGTTTATTTTATTAATATTTGCTTTTAAATTAAGAAATTGAGTAATGTATAGTTCTAAAATTTTAATTATAATCTACAGTTTGATACCAAACTTATTGACATAAATTCATGAAATATTAGTTCAATAAAATTTTGATTGCGAGTCAACAAACGAGATGACATGGCCTTTCAACCGTGACCTGTCTCGAAAGGGTTAAAGGCCAAAAGAGATTTTCTTTTATCATTCAAAATTCCAATTTTTACTATACATGTAAAATGTTTACCAAAAGATTTTTTTATGAAATTGCACTTACTGTAAATGAACATTGGAAAGGTTATTGACTTAATTGATAAAAAAAAAAAACATTATTTCTCTACTGACCAGTTTCTGTACTCTGTTATTTTATTATTAATCATGCTAAAAAATTTCCTCCTAAAGGTAATCATGAATCCTCAATTTTAAATATTCGGAAGGCCTTCAATTGTGAGAGGAAACAATTCACTTTAGGAGACATCGTAGTTAATAGATTTCTTAATTTATTGAATAAAAGCTCACTTGCTATCTTTATAGAGGTCGGAAACCAGCAGTCAGTTTAGAATATGACAATGATATAAGTAAAACCCTGATTTGTGTCATACAAGGACGTGTCATCTAATTTGTACAATTTATACGGTGAACTTATTTTAAGAGATGTACTAAACGATGGAGAGGATGGAATTCAAGTCAGTAGACTTATGAACAACTTGAGATACAAAGATGTCACCTCCTTGCAATCAGTGTAGAGGTTGTTGAATAAATTACTGAAGCAGAAACAAGGTGCTAATCACAAAAATAAAGACAACCAAAATTGTGGTATTTGACAGCCAAAGACTAAATAAAGTACTAATGATTCTTGATGGTGAAGTTATTGAAGATGTGAAATTATTTAGATCCATTATCAACACATGCAGCAACTGCAGCCAGAAACAAGGAGAAGGCTGGGGATAACTAATAGTTTCTCAAGACTTTATAACCTGATGAAGGACAAGATGATACAGTTAATTCTGAATATTTGGATGCTGTACTTATTCATGTACTTGGATACTTGATATAAATGGGAGTCTTGGCAACTGAAATAGGAAGATGAAAGAAGAATTCAGACATTGGAATTTAACTGTTTTTAGAAGAAATCTGTAGGTTTTATGGATGGCAATGAGAATCAATCAATCAATATTGGCAGAAACAGATCTCAGAAAGAGCTATTGGAGCTTACACATCATAGAAGTTTGGCTATTCGATCAATATTGGCAGAAACAGATCTCAGAAAGAGCTATTGGAGCTTACACATCATAGAAGTTTGGCTATTCGATCAATATTGGCAGAAACAGACCTTAGAAAGAGCTATTGGAGCTTGCACATCAGAGAAGTTAGGCTATTTTAGGTATTTATCCAGAGGAATTAACAGTCTGGAATGCACCATTTTTGAAGAAAAGAAAGAAAGGTTGGAGGGCAGCATCTCAAATATGACAGGATTAACAATGGATTAAGCTTTAAGCCATGAGAAGAGCTTGGACCAGGATGGAATGGAGGAGACTTGCTTAGAATGCTCCTCCATTGGACAGCTGAATGAGTCTTGACTCATTTCACAGAACAGGTATTTTATCATCTGTTTATGATTTGTTGTATATGATGATGAAGTAGTAAAGTGTGATCAGATTATATTTTGAAGTGATTGTAACATACTTAAAAACTTTACAGGGTTGTGTACTTTTTTGTTATGTATAACAACATTTAAAACTACAAGCATGACTTCTTGCAGGTGATCGAACAGAGAAATGACATACTATATGTCGACCTCTGTGAAACTGAAACTGACAACATAAAGAACGAGATTCCTATATCTGTTCGTGATGCCCTCGTTTTTCTAGAAGTTGCTTGTTTTCCATCACCACATTCCATTGGTTGGTAGTATTCAAATCCTAAGATGGTTAATATTTGTCGAAAATTTTAAAATTATAAAAAAAACTAAAACTGATACCTTGTAATTGATCATTCTTAAAAGTACTGTAATATTTATATACTCATTTACTTTGAAATTAGTATATTTCTTTTGACGTTTTTACGGTAAGAAAAATCCTTTTTTGACGAATATTTGAATATAATTTTTCTTTTCTTGTTTTTTTCTGGTCTTCAGCTACTTTTTAATACCTCATTGATAATGGAATATTTGAAATATTAGTGTAATACAAACTTAAATATGACAAAGCTCCTTTTTTATGTCTTCTTATAGATAAAAAGATGCAGCTTAAACGAAAGTATTTTCCACCTGATCAATTTCGACCAGGCCAAAAACTTAATGTTGTGCTTAGTCATTTGGAGAATCCTGGGAAGTTTTTTGTACAACAGGTATATTTCACACAATCTAATCCTATATGTTTGAATACATAAATAATAGAACAAATGCAAACTATACACAATCATTAAGGACACTTTTTCTGTCAGAATATAATTATAGAAATTACATACTAAAGAAAGTTGTACATATAAAATACCAGACACTGACATTATTTGATTACTTTATCTATCTGTTTTATATATTCCTTGTTGTTGTTCTTTTCATCCATTTTGTGTTTCGAAAGTTTGTAGGCAGCTTTTCCTTCACAGCGTGAGTGATGTGACCTTCAGTACCCTGATGTTTTTTAAATAAACTAATACGCATATTACTAAGTAATTGTCACTCGTTTCAGAAAAGGTTCAGGAAATGTGATGCATATCCTCAAAGCTTTTTGGAAGGTATATTTCAGTTATAATGCATGAGCATATAAATAGTGTTAGCAGTTTAATTTAACTCGGTAGCTACTGTCATTTTATAAATGTGTTGTTTGTCCATTAGCATTTCTTGTATATTCAAATGTGTTATATGAAACTGTTTCCATTATTATACAATATAGTAAATGCAAGTGTTGTATAGGTTGATATTTAAAGTTCTATAGCTATCTCATAAAATTCAGAAATGAAGTAAAAACAGCTAAAAACGAGATATAAAAGAAATACATAGACATTGTTGACATTTCATCAGAGTTAACCTGGCATCATCAAAGACACTGTCTATGTAGTTTTTATATACTATTTTAGCTGGTGTTTTTACATTATATAGCACATAGCTTAGTTATCCATTTCGGTCTGGGATGTCTTCCGTTTTGTATTAACACATAATTGTCACAACGTAAATCATTATGTTCTTCGTGACCTTAATACACAAAATTACACCTACATGTAAAATTACCACAGTATAAAAAAGTATGTTACTTAACACAGAAATACACAAAATTACATTTACATGTAAAATTACCACAGTGTAAATAAGTGTATCACTCATGACAGAAATACACAAAATTTCATTTACATGTAAAATTACCACAGTGTAAAAAAGTATGTTATTTAACACAGAAATACACAAAATTACATTTACATGTAAAATTACCACAGTATAAAAAAGTATGTTACTTAACACAGAAATACACAAAATTACATTTACATGTAAAATTACCACAGTATAAAAAAAGTATGTTACTTAACACAGAAATACACAAAATTACATTTAATGTAAAATTACCACATTGTAAATCAGTATATTACTCATTACAGAAAAACACAAAATTTCATTTACATGTAAAATTACCACAGTGTAAATCAGTATATTACTCATTACAGAAATACACAAAATTTCATTTACATGTTAAATTACCACAATGTAAATCAGTATAATACTCAACACAGATATACATATAATTGTGTGTAAAATTGTAATATCATTCTGTTACATACCTTGCACCTTGATTGTAGCTTCAAATGTTATGTAATTAATTTAAAAGAAAATATTGCACTATTTTCCACTGTTAATAAACATACGCAAATGTACCTTTCACAAAGTATAAGGCCCATATTTTTAAATTCACATAGTTTTTCCAGTTCTTATAAAGTGAATTAAAGAACATGTAACTTTAACTTTATACATATGTTTAGAGAAGGAGAGAGAGAAATAGTTCATTTGTGAAACTAAATTGGAGGATGTTAATAGATGCAGTAATTTTAGATATCATAGTTTTTTAAAACGTTTCTTGAATTACTTTATATTAGGGTACAATACATTTTTGGCATTTTACTCTCAGCATTGTATCCTTGATATCTATATGTGTGTATATTGTTGTTTTTTGTTTGTACCTTCTTCCATTGTTTTGCATAAAGAATTTATCTTATATCCAAATTTTCATCTGTGGTTTGACTATGCTGTGTAAAATTCACACTATCCTTCTATTTTTATGTAATCAGTTTATAAAAAATATTTCATAGCTCACTTAAATGTATGTACTCATGATACCAAATTTTATAAAATAGTTAGTAGTACAGAAAATCTCCTGTATTAAGGAGGTTAGGATAGTGAAAAGTAATTATTGTTTCTGTAATGTTTTCAGAGGTATAATATTGAATGTATTTATAGTTAAGAGGAAGTGCTCATCACCTAATGTTTCTATAATGTTTCCAGTGGAATAATATTGAATGTATTTATAGTTAGGAGGAAGTGCTCATCACCTAATGTTTCTGTAGGTATAATATTGAACGTATTTATAGTTAGGAGGAAGTGCTCTTCACCTAATGTTTCTATAATGTTTTCAGAGGTATAATATTGAATGTATTTATAGTTAAGAGGAAGTGCTCATCACCTAATGTTTCTATAATGTTTCCAGTGGAATAATATTGAATGTATTTATAGTTAGGAGGAAGTGCTCGTTACCTAATGTTTCTATAATGTTTTCAGAGGTATAATATTGAATGTATTTATAGTTAAGAGGAAGTGCTCATCACCTAATGTTTCCAGTGGAATAATATTGAATGTATTTATAGTTAGGAGGAAGTGCTCGTCACCTAATGTTTCTATAATGTTTCCAGAAGTATAATATTGAACATATTTATAGTTAGGAGGAAGTGCTCATCATCTAATGTTTCTACAATGTTTTCAGAGGTATAATATTGAATGTATTTATAGTTAGGAGGAAGTGCTCGTCACCTAAGTAACCTCATTTTTCAAATGCAAGAAAAATTCTCGGATTCCAAGAAAAACCTACACGCAGTTTATGCTCCTCGTATGGGTAAGATTTGATTAATGAAATTAAAAATTTGTCATAAATTTCAGTATTACTTGCTATATTGTAGTGAGAAGACTTCTTTTATGAAAACTTGAATTAACTTGAGCTGTTGATTTTAAGGATTATAAATACTGCAGCTTTAAAGAATTATTTAAGTAAAAATTAAGAATGAAAACTGTATTAACCCTTTCCAGACAAGTCATGGGTCAAAGGCCATGTCATCGCTTTTGTTGACTCACATTCAAAATTTTACTGAACTTCTATTTCATGAATTTATGTCAATAAGTTTGGTATCAAACTGTCCATTACAATTCAGATTTTAGTATTATTCAATTTCTTAATTCAAAAGTAAATATTAAATATACACAACATTGATTTTTGTATGTTGAATGCAGCACCAGTTCAAATTTGATTTTTGTGATGTCAAAATACTAAGTCTATAGTTTTGTACGAATTAGGAACTCAAATTACAAATATTGACAAGCTAGAATATGAAGTAAGAGCCTCGTATCTTTTCTATTTGCTGAAATTTCACTCATGTACTGAATCAAACAGTGGCCCCACTCACCTCTTTCCATTTTTGGAAACAGTTCCTTATATACACTTACTTCAATATGTGACATGTAAAGAACCAATCGAAAGCTCAGAATGGCTCCCTAGTGGCTTTCTCAGCCATTTTAAAGTGTTAGAACATCATATCATTTTTTCAAACCAAAATTTCAAGGAGGTAAGTTGTGTCGTTAGTCTGCTCAATATTTCATATTTTCTTAGACTGAAATACAGCTTAGTTACTAAGCATGATAAGTTATAGTGGAATTCTGTGTCATTAATATAGTAATTTATGATTTGTTTAGTTATTCAACTGTATATATAAAACGTAAAGAAATTATTTCATTTCATATCCTTTATGTGCAAAATTTTAAAAGGCTTAGCAACCGTGTAGAAAGGTCGTAACTAGAAGAGATAATTGTTTGCTTTACTTCTTCATTTACAGTTTTATGTTTTAAGAAAAATAATTTTAAGAACTTATTTCTAAATAGTACTAATCTATATACATATATAATGTATAATAATTGACATGTGACTGTATTTTACAAATACTAGTCTACTAAAGACAGGCAAGATAGGTCACTTTGTAAAGACTAAAGGTCAGTTTTATATTATTGAATATGGTAACATGAGAGCATGCGTGCTGTGTCATTGTAACTTCTGTATTGTTAGCCAGGCACAGCTGGAAGGTCAATATAATTAAAATAATTAATATATATAAATATGTAATGTTATGAGATTTAAGCTATTTAGTCTAAACATCTATGTTTTCGTGTTATAATTTGTTGTTATTCTAGAATGAAAGAGGCATAATTTATAATTATTTCCTAATTTCTTATGGTGGTTACAAGATCTGTCAAATCTACCAAACCTGTACAGAGATTTCTTAGTGAAAATAACAGTTTGAATATAAAGTTTTTTCTTTTGATAACTATCTGGACATTATAAAGATTTCGTATGTGAAATTTTAAAGTTTTCTGATGCATAAAAGTATTTTTAATCTTAAAATGAAAATTACTTTGCATGTTAGATGGGCAACATGCAAAAAAGAAAAAAAAAGACATGAGAAAAACATTGCTTTACAAACCATAAGACTTAATTTTTTTTAAAATGTGATATTTTGCATATGAAAGCAGTGTAATATTTACTGATAATCTGCCAAATTTCGTTAACATTTGCTTACTAATTTAAAAGTTACAACATGAAAACTATAACAGACACAAAATGTTTACGGGGTCGATCCCAGGGACCGAGACCGTGTTGAAAGAGTTAATAGGATTATATCATTACTTTTATAATATGGATTGAATTTAGAAACATTCAGCAGTTTTCATTTTTTTTAGATGTTACTTTGTGTACAGCAAATATGTTCATGGGATCCACAGAGCAGCAAAACAGTTTTAAAATGATAAATGATAAAGAAACAAAATCATATAATTGTGATTAATGAAAAATAAGCAAATAATTTGGAATATTGTAGCTGGAAGATTATAATCTAGATATTTATAACCCAGTCACAGGCTCAGACTTCCAGCTATTATGTGCTTGTTTTTATTAATTATAAAACAGGTTTTATAATATGATTCAGAGAAGAGAAAAAAAAGGATATATTTGAAACTATTCAGTGATTTAGTTATACGAGAAAGTTTAATTTGAAAATAACTACACAAAATCAGTTTTTCTTATCCAAAGCTTTTAACATTTTCAAAAACCCCCACAATGTATATTTTTTCTTACTTCAGGTATGGCAGTAGTTGGCAAATTTTCAGTAGACAAAAATTGGTACCGAGCTGAAATTATTGGCTTACCTGGTGATTCAAATGTTGAGGTTCGGTATGTGGATTTTGGTAATACAGAAGTTCTCCCATATTGGGATTTACACAAAATACCAGATGACTGCATGAAACTTCCAGCTCAAGCTATTTCATGCAGCCTTTCGGATGTGGCTCCTCCTCAAGGAAAAGAATGGAGTGATGAGGTAACAGTGTATGAAAATGTGTCTGATTAAAGTATGGAGTATCATAGGAAATGTTTAATTTTTATTTTAGTCATGATGAAAGTTTATTTACTAAGTACTGAAAAAATAGAAAAAGACATTCTAGGAAAACTATTAGAGCTATTAAAAATTCACAAGTATGCAACATAATATTTCAAAAGCTAATTTGTTGTCTCATTGACACACGATTATCACAGGCTGTGAAAATCTTGTAAACAAATATTTTAGTAATAGAGATTCTGGAAAATTGGTGGTTTTTATCGGGAAGTCCTGGAGAAGTCTTTGAAAGGTCAACCCCAATCTTTCAACATTCCCCATTTTTATCGATGACATTCTGTACCATCATGTTTATCTCAAAAACAATCTCTAGAAAATGTGATTTGTAGAATGAGAACTATACTGACTTTGCACACTGATCAGTAACAGGCTTTGAACTGTAAATATTCATATGCAAAGGAACACCTGTCACCTGATTGTTGTTGGGATGATAATGTTATCATAGAATATGCTTGACATTTGTTCGACAGAGACCTGAAATTTTAAGTTGTTGATAGGGCTAATGATATAGGGAAAGGTAGGTCAGAAGAGCTAATTGATAAGTTCAAGGGGTTGATAAAGGCATTTAAAGAAAAAGACCATAATTGTGTCAGGAATACTGCTGATAATTAACTGTAGGATGAAATTATGAGTAGGTCATTAGGGCTAAATGCTAGGCTTAGATTAATATGTAAGGATAAGCAGATAAGCTGGTGGGATCTGTTCAATGGGAGAAGGGAGCTTTTTGGAATGGATGGTTTACATTTAAATAGAGTAGGATCTGGCTTCTTTGCAAGGGCTATTAACTCAGCTGTAAAAGAGGTTTTAAACTAGGATTAGACAGTGGTAAGGGCCAAGATAAACTCAGTGCAAAAAAAGATGTAGATAAAAGTTTAGCATAGGAAATAAGTATAGAAGTAGTTATAAGGATAGGCTTAATTGTTACTATCGTAATGCTAGAAATATAAGAAATATAATATAATAATGGAGGATTTTGATATAATGGGAATAACTGAAACATGGTTAAACATAGATGATTTTGATGACAAATTTCTTTGAAATACAGGGTTACAGGTTAATTTGATAGAGATGGAATACTAAAGAGAAGGGTAGGAGTGGCTTTATATGTAAAATGTGATTTACATCTTGTTGAAGTTGAGGATATCAAAGACAATAGCAAGGAGATTGAATTTATTTGGGTTTCTATCAGTGGATATAAAGAGGAAAGGCTTTTAGTAAGAATTAGTTACAGACCACCAGATGATACTGATGAAATTAGTGAGAAACTTTATAATGAGATTAAGATTTCAGTTGTTGTAATAATTATGGGTGATTTTAATTTCAGGTGTATAGATTGGGAAATGCTAGATTCAAACCATGAGGGACAAAGGTTTGGGGATACGTTTCAAGATCTTTTTCTTCACCAATTGGTCAAGGTTCCTACTAGAAAATAGTTAACTTCTAATATAGAATTTGTTGAAAGGGTGGAAATTAGGGAACATCTGGTTGCAAGTGACTGTTGATTTACTAGGTTTGATGTTTTTCTGCATATGGAGATCAGAAATAATGATATTATGGTTACAAATTTCAAAAAAGCAAATTTAGAATTTGTTGAGAGGGTGGAAATTAGGGAACATCTGGTTGCAAGTGACTGTTGATTTACTAGGTTTGATGTTTTTCTGCATATGGAGATCAGAAATAATGATATTATGGTTACAAATTTCAAAAAAGCAAATTTAGAAGGGATGCGACAAGAATTATCCGTTGTGAATTGGGCAGCTGACTTATTTGGAGACACTGATCAAATGTGGAAACTTTTTAAGGGTGAATTTTTAAATGTTCAAGATAAACATATTCAGTATAGAAAGAAAAGGGTGGCTGCAAGTGATAAACTAGATTGACTTGCAAAGAGTTTAAGAGATAAAATTAAGGAAAAGCATTACAAATTTAAGAAATTTAAATTGACTGATATGATGAGAGATTTAGAATATTATATAAGATCAAAAAGTTGGTCAAACACGAAATTAGGACATTAAAAGGAATTTATGAAACAAAAGTTGGCTGAAATGTAAAAATTAACAGTTAGGATTTCTTTAAATACATTAAGGGTAAACAAAATGCTAAGATGTGGTTAGGATCCGTGAGTGAAGATAAAGGAAGGCTCGTATCTGATGATTATGAGCTGGCTGGGTTATCAAATTTTTCTTTTTCTCACAGTTTTTACTAATGAAGATTTAAGTAGTGTTCCTCATCTTTGAACAGTTGATAAATGGAAACTAGGTCGGATAATATGAATACATTTATTCTGAGCTTGTTAAAAAAAATGGGAAACATAAAAAATTAATAATAAGATAATATTTCCCCAAGGGTTTTGAAGGAGATTATGGAGTGGATATGAGAGCCACTTGCTACTATTTTTTGTAAGTCTTTGAATAGTGGGCAGGTACTAAAGAATTGGAAGTTAGCTAATATCACTTCTCTTTTCAAGGGAGATAAATAAAATTGTCCCGGTAATTATAGACCCCGTAGTCTTACATCAGTTGTGGGAAAACTTTTGGAACATCTGATAAAAGGTGCTTTACAAAGTCATTTAACAAAGTTTGCAATTTTATTGAATAGTCAACATAGTTTCACTGAGGGAAAACCTTCCTTTACAAATCTTTGGACATTCTTTGAAAAGATTAGTGCTTATGTAGATGAGGTTAAGGGTATGGATTTGGTGTATCTGTATTTTCAGAATGCCTTTGACAAGGTGCCATATAAAAGGCTTGTAAAAAAATTATCTGTACAAGTGTGGGGGATAAGTTAGCTAATTGGAGAGAAGAATGGTTGGATGGAAGAAAGCAGAGGGTTGTTATAAATGGAGTTCAGTCAAACTGGATTAAT